CACTGCAAATAATTATAATAATATTATTTGTGAATCATCTTTTCAGTTTCTGGTATATATTCAATTACGATATTCTTCAACAACTCATCAAAGACATTTCTTGATACCTTGATATTGTCAGGAATCGAATATCAACATAAGCGGAACATGGGCCAGTGATAACTGGTTTAAACTTTCAAACGACTGTCGGATGCGGGGAGCTTGGTAGGCGACAAATCGTGACGTTGTCTCGCGCCGGCTTCAAATAACGTCTCAAGCGAGCTAAAGAACATCCATCATGAGACGAGCGGCGTGACGGGCCGCGGAAAAACAAGCCCGAAGTGTCAACCAGTTGACTGAAAGCATGACGATTCATTATAGCTTTGCAAATATTTAAAGACGAAGTATAAAGGCGAATATTTTAACGCTTCCCGTTAAAATATTCGCCTTTTAATGCTACGTTTTCAAATAAAAATCGAGTGCTTTCAAAGTGAGTTTTTGTACAGGAGTTTCAACAATTAAATATAAGTCTAGGTTAAAAAATTAAGCTTTAGTAAATTGACTATTATGATCGATGATTTTCTAGAATTTACAACCTTATTGAAAGCCATAATTTTATATTCTCTTCCTTTTAAGTTTCCCGAACAACCTTTGTGTCGTTTAATATTTATAGTTAAAACTAATGGAGTTAGCATTAAAAGTATCTAAGCTAGCTAGCTAAGATTATTGGACCACCAGCGTTGACTGACTATCACTGAATTATTGTGTTTGCTAATTTCTTAGCTTTTAGCACCAATTACCAACACCGCCCGACATTAAGGATAAATTTCCTTGGATTTTACTGAAAACTTAAAACCAATTAACAGTTCTATATCCTTAAATCGTATAACTTAAGTTCTAATAGATAGTAAGAAATATTGTCCTAATTTACGCTTTAAAAGGATATGATTCTTTCCATGGACTACATAGAGTAGATAATAATTTACAAGTGTCATGACAAAATCATAATCAAACAATCAGCACAATAACAGTCATAGAGTAATACATCAGCAGAGCGCGCTAATGAGCGCCGGCGGAATCCGCAATCTCGCGCCATCTGCCTCTAATCAACGATTGGAGTTAATTAAATCGCGTTGGCAATATGGCGGCAGGCATAATTGCTATTAATAAAGCGCTTTCCTGTATAATTGGATGGCGGCGAGCGCGGATTGGCCGGACCCTAATCACGACGTGATAACATTGCTCTAATGGCGTACACCGCGCCTATTCCATCGAACCACAGAGCCTTTGCTTTCACGTTGTGCTGCTTCCGCTGTTAACATAACATTAACAATTCCTAATTTTGCAATACTTTAATTTCATAATTTGAGCTTTTTAGTGATTAGTTTCCAGTGTTATTTGGTGTTCCAATGCGTCATCAAAATCTTATAGAATAAAAAATGAAAAAGTATTGGGTTCTTTTGGTTGAGTTTAGAATTGTAGTCTGCTCTTTGTTACCTTACAGTTTTGGATATTAAATAGAAATGTAGTATCACAATATAATTTAAAGAAGTAAACTAATGAAATGTTACTTATGCTATCGCCTCTATCTTTTTTTTAACTTAACAAAGAATATCTCGTTCCAATGACTTCCTTTGTTTGTTTTAAAGTGCTTCAGTTAAACGATTTAAATCATCCTTGAAAGTAAATTGCACATTAAAGATTTTGATTAGGATTCACGCTTGGAGGAATGGCGACCGTCCGTACGACGGAGCGATGTGCCGCCGTTCGGACCAATGATTGACGACTTAGCACCTCGGTGCGTCACTAATTAAGCCATGCGTTGCTTGGCTTCTGCCATGCTCTGTGCGCCTGCGCATCGCAACACTACCGCATTAACAGTGTAAAATTACATTTAGATTGCGAATCTTGCTCGTTTAACACCTTGTTTTTATCAGTCATATTAATTATGTGGGGGTAATTTTTAATTTAAAAACTTTCTTTTTTAATTTTTATATGACTAATTAATGTTTAATTTATTACCTATATACTACGATAGTTTAACAATTTTTTTGTCGACGCGTTTGTGATTTAGGACCGAAAGTGTTTTATTAGACTCGTCGTTATTTATGTGCAAATAACAGTTGACTTAAGACAATAGATATAATCCGCTACGGTACAAACAGAGAACGCGGGGTGTTGACAAACAATGATTTAATTACAATCTACGTTGAAAGACACAAACAGTTTCATTCGCCAAAAACTGACGAAGAGACAAAGCATGCGAAATGATGTTGTACATGTGTCGAAGAATGAGAGAGAACTTTACAAGCAGACATGTCTATTTGATGTGACGCACATAAAAATAAGACATTTGTGAATAGATTTACGACTTACATCTAAGCCGGTGTCGTAGACATCGACTTTAACAATGTCATAACAGTAATGAGAGCGGCTGTAAACGATCGCCCCCTTATTTCTGTCTTCGGTATATGCTCATTAAAATCGGGGAACGCGTGTTCCTTGCTCCTTTTGCTCGCGCTCGCTTTTCCGCTAACTTTCGGGTGGTGGAATGATGGACGACGTCGGTGGTCATATATCATGACGGTAATATATATCGCAGCGTGCGTCGAGTGTCGCCATTAACGCATGCGCGCAATCGCCCGCGCCTTCGGGAATGCTATAAGAAGCGGCTCACAAATCGACGCGTGCGACCACAGCTTTACATGCATAAATCTTATTAATGCTATTCTTATTTTTGTCCCTGCCTCGACCTGAGCAATCTTTACACGTCTCCAGCTCTCCTTTGTCACTCTAAAGCACTGCTGGCATAACGACATATAAAATTTCTATTGCCGAGGACGCCAATCAATCGTATTGTAAATTATAAAAATCGTATCGTAAATTACCGCTGTATACAAGGCCAGATAAACGTCGCGGGTGGTCGAGGATTTGATTGAATACAATTCAAATGGCGGGTCAAAAGCCGCAGTAGTGCAGTAGAATATTCGATGATTCGATCGCTAATTATCAACTGCTTTCCCCTTGCCTTAGGAAAAGTGAGTGGCCGTGGTCGAAGCGACGTCTCGACTCGCGATCATAGATTTGTTGTTTCCGCTCTCGCCGCGTCAATGACTACCATTTTGTGTCGATTAGGAGATTATATTTCACGCGCCCGCTACTGACACCACTTTTTGTGTCACACCGTTCTGGTCACCACGAGTTTATTATCTTGATACTTTTTCCTATACAGAGTCTGTTTTTCGTTATCGAACATAGTGGATATATTTTTAGTCAAAGAATATTTTTTATATTTTCCTATCTCATAACCTTACCCTTGTTAACGTAGGGTCGATAGCAGGAAACCGCAGTTACGCCGAGGAGTGTAATAAGAGCCATTACTTCGACCAACCGCAAGCAATTTCACTAACAGTAAACAAAAACGTCTGCCTTTACAAAAATGTCTACCCATTCATCTTTCTCCAACGGGAGACGTTAAAGAATGTCTCCGTTAAGGAGGGGAAGGGGAGCGATAGCTTAGAGTCACAATCGTATAAAAGCGTTCACAATAACCCATATATGTACGCAGACGACGACGATAAATGTTATACGAATTTCGACTTTGTCATGCGGCTGTGTTTTATTACTTTTTTATTCTAAATATTTATTATTGCTGACAGTGTGTTGGGGTGGGGGAAGGTAGATATAAGCAACTGGCACTGTTTTAAACTGCCGATGCATGGTATATCACTACATACTAGATGCCTACAAATATTTTTATTTCGTTCATGGTCCCTTCTTCATTGCGGTATGATCCACTTTCGTTACTTTATAATAGGTAAGGAATCTGATATAAATTATAATCTCTATTATCTAGATGGCGTTGGGTTCGAAATAGATCACGGTATCGTTTGATTTCTTCGCTCAGATGACGTCATTGTCATTATGCTAAAAGTGTTATGTTTATTTGTGCTATCAGATTGCTCGTATATTGTTTTGCTAATTGGTAGCGATAATTCGCGATAGCCACTACTCTAATGAGCGAAAGTCGATTAGAGTCGGTCTCAGGTAGCAATAATTTTAGCTCAACCAAGTAATTGTCGAATAATTGCGTTAATGTGAAAATTTACGCCTTAACATAACAATGGAGGTAGGAAGTCGACGTGGCGCGTATAAAATGTAAGAGTTAAACATAAGGTACACGAGGTAATGAAAAATTCGAGAAAAAGCACTCTTAAAAACTATTTATTTTTATTAAACTCTACTGAGAAGGAGATGAAGCAACATTTTTAGGGATATAACTTGCACTTCCATTTTTAAATATCAACTAATTTGTTATAAGTAATCCTGACAACATGAAGGTACTTTTTGAGTAAAAAAAGTACATTTTTGTCTCCTAAACCTAATATTTTAACAATGTATGTGTTCCAAAAAACTGCCAAATTCTAGGGAAGTTAATGATTACTAAATCAATTAACTACAGAATATTCCAATATGCTTACCCGAGATAAAGAAATATTGACGAAACCTGTTCTTTCACTACTACTAAATAAAGTTTTAAACTCCATTAATTCGTATTAAAAATCTAATTTAAAACTACTAAAACGATGCTCTCCACACTTCGATAGATATCCTGTTGATTTATTAATATGAGCATTTAATGATCTGCCTTTTTAACCTTGGTACGGTCGTATAACTTGTAATTAATTTTAATATCTACGTTTAAGACGTTAAACGTGGCATTGAATTAAATAAATTTTATAACTGTGTTACCAGCGATAGTGTAAAAACCTCAATTAATTACTTAATTGTGTAGTACTTATTAAACAAAATAATTTAAGTAATTAGGACTATAAAAGACGAGATAAATTCTATATAGTCTTTGAGTAAGAAACAAGAGAAAAATCAATTCCAGGACCGACATTTCTAATTACATAATCTAGTTTGAATGTACATACTTAATTTCTTAAACGGTCGTTAGCCTGACTTATGTTGACTTTCTTTTCTATAACTGTAATATTACCGTGTGATTGTTGTTGCAGACGCATGTTTCCGACGGTGCGCGTGTCATTCGCGGGATGTCGCGCGGAGGCGCGCTACGCCGTGCTTTTAGACGTGGTGCCGGTGGACGGCAAGCGGTACCGCTACGCCTACCATCGATCCTCATGGCTGGTGGCCGGGAAAGCGGACCCGCCCGCGCCTGCACGTCTCTACCCGCACCCAGACTCACCCTTCGCCGGCGATCAGCTACGCAAACAAGTCGTATCTTTCGAGAAGGTCAAGCTTACCAATAACGAAATGGACAAAAACGGACAGGTTAGTAGCTATATTAGTTTTCTAAATTTTTCTGAGGCCAATAGAAGTATAAAAATCGCCATTTCATTGACATGGTTTTTCATGACATCTTAAAAATAAACTAATTTTCCTGTCTAGTTGGTGTTAAATTCAATGCACAAGTACCAGCCACGCATCCACCTTGTGTTGCGGCGGGAGGGCGCCATCAACGCGCCCATCGTGGACCTTGAGCAGGAGGAGTTCAAAACGTTCATCTTTCCCGAGTGCGTGTTCACTGCGGTCACCGCCTATCAAAATCAACTGGTAAGTGTCATCGAACATCTGTATCATAACAAACTTGTCGAGCAATTTATTTGTCGCGTCTGCAGTCTCGTTTCGATCATTCGATATCTAAAATAGATCAGAGAGCTAAATGCTGGGGATGGCAGCGCCATCGGCCGACTATCGACGGTTTCTATTCCTATCACGCTAATTGCATCTCGCTGAAAGGTATGTCCAGTGGAACAAAGGGAGGTGGCACATCATTTTTTGTGCACCGAACGGCCACACGCGCGTCCACCCGACGACGGACGGACGGCGCGCCTGACGCGTGCGCAATGGTGACGATTAAAGTTTTCAGCCGCGCTAAATATAAGCTCTCAGATGCGCTGCTAACATCGGCCGCCGCAAGCGCGCCACGCACTTCGCTAATGGCATTGTCTCGATGAAAGTTATCGACACATCAAATGTTGCCAGTTCTTCTCTTTAACTTTACAGTTGAATTCTTAAAATTGGTAAAGTTTTCGGTGTCACCGATATTGAAAATGATGCTTAAATAATGTTGTTATTTTGCTCTTATTTTTGATCATTCAAGATAACAAGGACAGTATTTTAAGTCATGGTAGGTCAATATGTCACGGTTTTCTATTTTGTATTTCATTACTCCAAATAATAATTTCAATATCAGGTTAAAAACCAAATTAAATTGTTAGTTAATAAAATCGCTAAACGCTTCGCTCCTCGAACCGCATGTCGCCTGTGGGTCGGTGTGGCGGGCGGCACTGCGCGCTGCCGCATATGTCGCCACGAGCAATTAATTCTCTGTCACAAGAGCGTTTGGGCGTCTCCGAGCTCCTCGTTTTGTTTCGTCCCCGCCAGTAATTAGGACGTTTTGAGGTTCATAAAGGAAGCGTTACTTTATATCGACAACGCACTACATAAATCTTCATTCGTTTGTTAATTAGCTGTTTCGAGTTCTACAAACATGAGTAGCGCTTGTTTTTGTCTTATATCAATTTATAATATTATGTCGGTGTAAATGCTTAATATTTGAGTCTTCACACACGAACACGACCGAGGATTTGAAGTAGTAATACACTGCAGCTAAGTTAATTGCCTTCGAGGACAGTACCAAAAGGTCGCCTAAATCGCTCCCTCAGGATGATATTTATTGATACCGATTGAATGTAATGCTTTCATAGATTTACTACCCGCCGCTTGGTGTACCGCTAAGCAACAGTCGCCTATTTTGCTATACACAATTTAATTAATCGATAATTTTTTCATTGAATTCAAAAATATTTGTCATAGTCTATCGATTGTAAAGATTTCGAAATGTCTACGGCAACTACCTCAGAACTTAAAGAGCGTGATATCAGAAGTTCGATCGCAACATAAGAGCGGTGCGGGCGGAGCAGGCGCAGTTCTCGCTCCGATTTGGCTGACGTCACCTCCTTGACAGCTAAAACATTTGTCGAACGCCGGAGATAGTGTCACTGATAACGCAATCCCTTACAACAATAAGAATACACTTAGCATGTTTGCACCTGCGCCTCGGACAAGATCGATACGTCTCAAGCCCGCACAATTTAAATTCCATACAAAAAAGGCAAACGCACTCTATCGTTCGGCCACAAACGTCAGAGAGGCTATTTTTACATAGATATCGATCTGATATGACCGATTAATCGTATAATATTTGAATTCTTTGGTTTCATAAAAAAGTGTCACCATGTTTTTCTGATCGTACGATGTTTGTCATATCAATTTGGAATGAAACATCATTATTCGTTTTTACTACTTTGAACGTTGATATAGGAGATAAAATCGGGATAAAAAAAATGTGTCGTGAATTGACTTTTTTGTGTGCGTTCGCCGTGTGAGACGGAACGTCGCCGTGCCGCGCCGCGGGATGGTTTCCCTGGAAAACGCCACGGCCCGTCCCCGAGACCCGACCTGCTTCAATATTTAATATTTTTACACCCACCACACTATTGTCGTGTTGTGCGTTTTGTGAACGTTCCTTTGTCTGAAATTCGAGTCGCTGCGAGGTGACAATGTTTGTTAGAGTTTACGCATTCTCAATGCACACAATGCGTTTTTAAAAAGGCGATGACTTGTGAATTTGTTGTGATTGATTATACCGTAGAGGATATAGTCAAACAAAGACACACGAGATACAAACAATCATAACACTTTTAGTACAACTATTAAAACCCATAGTAAGTAAGTTCTAATAAATAAGTTAGATTTAGTAAATAAATTATAAGACATTAAGATTTTAAAATCAAGACACGTTCAAGTTGTCTCTACTAGAAGTACATTAAGGTTTATAGAAACAACCTTTAAGAAAAAGTTAATGTATTTTATAACATTAAGTTATTTTAAGTTATCACTTATAGGATTCTAAACGGCAAGTGACTTGAGAAGATAATCACAAGATCTGACTCCCATAGGTCGTATGTACACAGTTCACGTAAACACCTTCAATAGGTGCTTAATTGAAATTTATATCTCATTTCTCAGTATCAACAATCAATATTCTAAAATCTCCAATCCGTGTATCTATTCGTGCATTCATCGTCCACAAACGAGTTCTAGCTTCGACATAAACGAACAATATAATGAAGGAGTAAAGGCAAACACAATTTCAATAACAAAGGGCATCCATGACAAATAAACATATTTCACGGGCCAAAATGGCTGCGGTCAGGTGTCACGAGGTGGCCCCCTCCTCCTCCCCTACTTGCCTCTGCCCCTGACGCACCTCTTTCTTCGATAATCGATTTAGTATTTCGTGAATGATGCTTTTTATTTGTGTCAACCAACTTGCTGCAGTTTATTTCTCGTCATTTTTTAGTATACAGATTATCTTGGTTGCCATCGAAAGGTTCACAAGATGCAAGCAATGCTAAATGACAAATTGAAGTCTTAAGATTTTTATTGTTAGTTTGATTATCATCCCGAAACCCTAATAATTGATTCCTAACGAGGTTTCTTATAACCTTCAATATAATCTTCAAGGTTTTCTGCTTGGAACATGATTCAGTGTACAGTTAACAAATTTTAATGGTCACAATAAAAGCTAAAGGAGTCGCAGTGTCACTGCAAAATGTTCATTATTCAAAGAATAATATGGCGCGATAACACGAAACCCGCATAAGTCAAAAATACAAGAAGTCAACGTACTTGCTTATGAGAGGATTTAAAATAATTTACCACGTTATTATTTATTTCTTCATCGTCTCGCTCGCTCGCGCCGGTGCGAGATCTGCTTTTATTCGCGATCTCTTTTTCTTTGGCCATCGATCACACGAGGTGTGACGTCACGCAGGGCCATCGTGTGCGGCCGGCTGGATTTATTGCGACTGCGCAGCGAAACAAACAGAAAAACTATGTTTGTATTCCTTAAAACCTGTAATACTTGAATTCATATGTCTACCTTTATAAATTAATATTTAATTATTATGATTATGAATATTTAAAATAATTGTGATCACACATGTAATCACTCACGGATAAACGCACAAAGTTTTTCTTGACAACCAATATTAATAGCGTAAAAAATGCTATTGTCTATATTTTTATTTTTTATAATCTGTAGGAACTGTTCAAGTGACATTGACAGTTGTTATACTTTATTTGATTTTAATCTGTGCATCGACATAATTTTGACGAGGGCATTGAAAGTCATAATAAAAAATGTGGCAAATTGCTTATTCATTGATATTTCGAGTGTTCAACTGCAACTATGGACACGAATGTAGAGTCGATCTTATATTAACAGTCGGTTCAATAATGGATCTACTTTCCCGTTTGAACAGAGATTCCAATCAGAGAATATTGCCAAATTGAACAATGGACAAATAATTTGTTATATGATTTAAGAATCCACAATTTGAAGAAAATTATGAGTTGAAAATTAAAAATTGACGAATATGTTTATTTGTACATTAATAACGAAAATAACTACGTCAATTGGCGAAGATCTTTACAATCTGCGGACAATATATTTCATTGTATCCATTGGTAGCATCAGAGAGAGCTTAGAATTTTTAAACTTGCTAGATGAAGATGTACTGTAACCTTTCAAATGCTATTAAGAACATTTTTGTCCCATCTAACAATGTTAACCATTTAAGCACCGTATTAAATTTATAAACTTGTATTAAAAGTAATAAAGTTTAAATTATTTTGTTGTGACTGTTTATTCAATTTAAGTTTCTTTAGATGGTTGATGTTCAGTGCACTACATCAATCAATAATGAGATACGTATAGCTAAGCATTGCTCCGCGCCTCACCGTGACATTTATTTATTCTTCAGAATGTTCCCGTCGTGTTGTGTTCAGTCGGATGCTTCTATACATGTTCTCTTGTAACTGGAATATTCATTTCCTTCGCCTTGTCAACTTAGATGAAATCTGGTTATAAGCTATTAGTACTTCTAAAATTGATTATTGAAATCATTACATTGTTCTAATAATTATAGCGTTTTCATTGGAATAAACATCTTGATTTTAATTTTTAAATCACCACAAATTATTGGTAACTATAATGTTATGTAATAATTTACCACTATATTATTATTTTAATTTAAGTGATAAAGAATTATTTCTATTCCGGATCTGGCTACATGTGTGGTGTAAACTTCCCTAAGCAATTTATCACTTCCCAATAATTAGAACGTCCTTTGCAGAAGTGTGCGCCGTTACTGTACACGTATCTCTCCTTGGCGCCTTTTTGTGAGACTTTTTTTGTTTCTCGCTCGGGAATAATGTCATTATGGCGCCTTTAATGTTGTCAGTGCGAAGAGCGGGCCACCGCCGTCGCCGTGCCCGAGGCGAGGCGAACTTTTGTTGATACTTAAATTAGGTTGTTTTGACACGCCTCACCCTTATGTTTGTACTAAATCTAATAAACGTCGGTAGCGAGAGAACATTCTATTCATTATTCGGGTGACGTTTCTGTAAAATACGCTGATGGATTAGAGACGTTAAGAATACATATTGGAATTCAATCAGTTTAACATTTAGGATATTGAAAAAGTCAAAAACAAATAAGAACGCCCATCTGCGGTGATACATGGTATGCATAATGTATGGTCGTCGATATTGTGAGGTGCCACTGGCATTTTGGGCGCACTCATTATGTCAATGGATGGAAACAGGCGCGGGCTCGGCGCGGCAGGCCCATTGTAGTCAATTCTTTCGCCATGTGGGTGTGCAAGTTGAGCAGCTTCTTAGCTGACCCCCGACACCGACACTCGCCATATCGAAGCAGAAGCGACACCACTCGTGTTCGTTTACCATCCTATCTTCTAATCGTAGTCATGTTCTGTTGCGCCTCATGAATTTCGTTTAACAATCATTCATTTCTATTGTTATAAACGTGTTATAAATTTCAAATCAATAAAACTAACATTTATGCTCAGATCCGAAGAATCGCTCGTAAATTTTCTCACTAAAACATTTAAGTAGCGTCATTTTTATGAAACAGAAACTGAAAATTTGTCTCAGACGGTGTCAATATTTTCTAATGTTTATTGTTTTCTTTGATCCCGAACAATACTAACCGAGACGTTTATCAAGACTTTTCGTAGATTAACGCGACTCGATCATTGTGCACATCAAAAGAATGTATAAACATCTTTAACAAAAAAAAACCTATTAGTTAATCTAAATAGAATAGGGAAGTCTGAAAATAGTTTGTTAAAGAATGTTCGTCGTATTTTTCACGGTATACATTTGGAGACTTACATAAGTTTATGTTTGGAATGTGCCCGTTGAGTTCTTCGTACGGTAATGCTTGCTGTAGTGCGAACTTGTCGAAATATCGCGCAATTAGGTGTCGCGTAGGTGAGCGTGTCGGGTGTAGCGCAGATCAGCGGAGCTCGAGGCTCGAGTCAATCGGCAGGTAATTACTGCCGCCAACTGCCGCGCCCGATGATAGATTGACACGTGTACGGATGCCGCTCGTTTCTACACATGCCAAACACTAACTAGTTTCTGAGCCCCAAATCTCTGTATAAAACATATAGTCATCCCTGTCATTATCAGAGACAAAACAGAGATAACAATATGTTTTAAACGGGGATATTCGATTCAGAAAACCCCTGGTGTATCATTATTTTACAGAATAAGGGCAAATGTGATACGCTGTTAAGTGAACATCAGATGCTACATCTGTAAAAATCTTAAAGGAAGTTCATTTTGTGGTACGATACCTACACCACCATTTTCAATAAATTATAAATTGACTCCTTCATTCAATTTTGTTTTTAGCGTAGAAAGATTTGTAGAGTTTTTTTCCTACAAAAACAAATATTTGAACATTTTATAAGTTATGTGATTAAAAGATGGTAAAACCGTCAAAGTGTACAGAATTTTTAGTTTGGTGATTACGTTTTAGGACTTATAGGTTATGTTATTTAACAAATTAGCCTATATTGCGTACGCTAGGAGATTGCCGTTTTAATGACGACTGGTTTCTCGGAGATTTGTCGTAAATATTGGTTGCAAATTGTGCTCGGGCGCAGCGGGGACACCACACGCAGCGAGGGGGCGATTTCTCATCCGTGTTTGCCTCCGCGCTGCCAAACACATTTTTTAACACCTCGGCCGCCGCTTAAATCAGGAATTGCAGTATTTTATGGGTACATCGACTTAATTCGTCTTATTTACTTGAAAACATTTGCTTACTACACTTGAAGTTTAAATCATTTGTACGTAATTGATATTTATAAAGTTACTTATACAGAAAAGGACTAGCTTAAATAAAATAACGATAACATATTCTTTGCTAAATTCTATATGAATAAAATAACTTACATCTTTTGTTTCAGATAACAAAATTGAAAATCGACAGTAATCCGTTCGCCAAGGGGTTCAGGGACTCTTCACGTCTCACTGAATTCGAGAGGTAAATATCTCAAATAATATTTCTAAAATATATCAAAAAGAGTGATTTTAAAATATTGTGCCACTCTTATAATTAGACATAGAATATAGTTATTATTTTATTCAATGTAACGAGTTTGCAAAGACTCGTTAGTTCATGTTTCGTTCGATTGTCTGACAAGCTGTAAGAAACAGGCGTATGCGACACTGATAGATGCCCCTACTCGCTCAATTACGTCTCCATCCCGCACTCCGTACACATAGGCAATCAAAGCGAGATAAATGCTAGCTCAGATCGATACTGCCTCTATATTCAACATTTATGATTTCTCCTTGATCGTTCGTCCGCATGCACATAAACACTACGCGCTTTGCGATAGTGCAAGAATTTTTTCCACATTTGAGCATGATTTTTTATTTTGAATTTGTTTCTTTGTTGAGATTCTATATCACGGGCGAGCACGAACGAACATCGGTCTTCGATGACGCGCGCTACGGCGCCGCCAACCCTAGGTACATATTTCATTTCGCTTCGCATATCCAAGGTGTGTGTACGTCTCCACATATAATATTTTTCTTCGTTTCAGGGAGACGATGGAGTCAATGCTTGCGGAGCAGCATTACCTTCGCTCTCCGCTGCGGCCGTTCGACCTGGACCAGCATAACAATAATTTGACGCTAGAAGAAAAAGCTATCTTGGCTGCTCGTTCGCAACTGTTTCTTCGAGCCGCGTATCCGTTGTACGGCGTGCCGGCAGCGGCACTGTGGGGCCAGTGGGCGTGCCTCGCCCCGCAGCTCCTCGCCCAGCAGCACCTGGCCTCAGGCTCTGGTCTGCAGCTACCCCGGCCAGTATACCCGGGCGGCATGCCCGCGGGCCTGGCGCAGCACCGCTTCTCGCCGTACCCGCCGCGGCGTGCCTCGCCCGGCTCCTCGCCGGACTCGCTGCGCGATGCCAGCCCGCACCCCTTGCCACCGCACACCCCGCACGCACCGCACCCCCCACACAGCCCCACTTAGTGACGGCCCACCGATTAAGCTTGAGGATCTCTTATAAATACGTTATAGATTACTGGTATTATTTATATAAAACTTTAGAAGCAAAGTGATACGTGAGTGTTATTGACGGACGGATTGTTCGATGGAGATGAACGAATTTACGTGTTTTCGATATCGAATAATTGAGTGATAATATGAACTGTTGATGCTGTGTTGCGATCTTTGATTTGTATTATAGTGTATAAATTATTTAAAACAAATTAGTATATTGATGTAATAATCGTTACTGTAAGTTGTATCGTTTTATGTTCCTAATGTTTTATCTCGTCGCTTTGGGCGTCGCATCGGCAGCAGTAGCAGGCTAGGGTTGAGGTATAACAATCTCTACATGGGTGAATTAGTTGGCACCACTTCGGCATACACAAATCTGTTCGTTTGGTTTGGTTAAAAAACTTTTGATATGTGCAATAAAAGAGACAAAAGCGTAATGTTATAGACAATTTAGCGTCTGTGTTAAGATGTATTATTAAATTGTAGAGAATATATTCCTTGTCTGTGTTTCCTGAGGTTTATTACACCTGGCTTAGAGTAAAGTTGATACGGACACATAGATGTACCTACATGATCATTTGTAGTTAAATTATAATTATTATAAATAATATATTGATAAAGTATAAAAAAATTAAATGTTTGTTAAAAATATTTAAACATGTGTTTTATTCACCTCTTAATTGTAATGATTTACAGGGTGTTAAATATTAAAAAGAAACTAAGCAAAATTTTATTTGATGGACGACTACAAGTGTCTGTATTCAACCACTAATCATGCAAAAATATTATAATAATATAACAGTGATGTCACGGTGGAAGACATGAGGAATTCATCAAACCCTTCTTTTACATCTACTTAAATAACTTCGATGATAAACTGTAATTGGATTCCTATTTGCAAATATATAATTGCAGATATAAAAGTAATTGCTTGACCTCTATTACATGCAACTGTAAAATCTTTCTAAATAACTGATCACGCAATGGAATACAGTTTTATTACAATAACTAGCTGTCGTCCGCGACTCCGTCCTCACGGAAAAAAAAGTTTATTAGCAGCCTGTGTGCTCTTTCAGACTTTGTTCTACATTTATGCTAAATTTCAGCCAAATCTATGCAGCCGTTCTGGACATACCTTCTAACAAACATCCATTCATCCATCCAAACATTCATCATAATATATTATTAGTAAGAAGTAAGATATGAAAATTAAGTAATGAACTAACGAGAAATTATGTAATTTTTTATGCTTGTATGTCCAAAAAACGTGATATAATTTATCGAACGTGATATTTATATATTGAACAGGAGTCAGACAAGGTATCTTCATTTAATTAAATATATCGTATTACGCTACACGTAGAAGGAGACTTGGCCGTGCTTCTGAACCCGTTTTTTCCGACACAGCTAGCATTTACTAAGCAATGCACTTTCCTATATTTAATACTTCAAATGTACAATACAATAGGTATTATTAACCAAAGTCGGGGATATCACACTACGATGTGTAAATAAATAAATCAGGTCGCCTAGATGTTTGTTTTACGAGTGAAAATCAATGTGTTAGTTAACAAGTTGTGGCTGTCACAGCCGTCAATCTATCAATAGGATATGACAGTGCACGTTAGTATGGACGCGCTATTTTTATTACGAGACGCCGAGGTCAGGAGAGCCGGTTTCTGATCGTTCGGTGGACCGCTACTAGATGGCGTTACTTGTATTAATTTTGGTTGTTAAGTTACGGCAAACAGAATCGCAATCTTACTATAATAACATTATGGGAATATTTGGATGTATTAATGTTATGTTAGAAGGTATTTCCAAAACAGCTGCATGAATCACGCCTCAAAATGACATAGTTTTAGAAAATAGTCTGAAAGAACACATAGGCTAATAATTAAGTTTTTCTTTAACTCCGTGCGGACGAAGTTTCGGACAACAGCTAGTGTACTATATCTTATTTTATTTCGGTTTTCTATGAAAGGAAAAGTATAAAAATACAATTAATCGATATCATTATGGTTGTAACATTAACACACAAGGCGTAACAGATTGTGAAATAGTTAGAATTAGTTTGACACGATCGGCAATTATGCAAACCGTCTATAAAGTTATCTGCGAGAGAGCAAGCACCGAGCACCCTCTACAACTATTCAATTAAAATGAAACAGTGGCGAGGCGAGGCGAGGCGTCATTCGAGTCACATAGAAGGGTCCGGGACATCGAATTAGTGCGACGCGTGGCCGCATTACCGGGACAAATTTCACGTCCCCAGGGCCGCAGGGTCGAGGGATGCAACGCTAATCTAATCTGGATTGTAGCTAATAAATGTTGGATCCAGTGACGCGGGTTGCAAAAATTTATTGCTTGTAAAACTGTTTCCAATCGCGGAGATTGTCCGGGCGCTCCGAGCCCGGCCCTGATTCAATTTGTCGTGTGACTTGTTACTTTTAGCTCGCTTATTAATTAATTTAACGATATGATTTGATATCTTTTTTTCGATGGTATGATAATAAGATATTCAATCTTTATATCAGATATGTTATTGTTTGTTGGCAACATTTCCTTCTTTTATAGAAAGTAGAAATCATTATATCCAGTAGAAAATATTAGTTATATGCTTAATAACACACAGTACAAGATAAATTTCTTAGGTAACATTAGAGATCGTGATATGTTTGTTATTGGATTTTCGTGTATAAAGGTCAGTCAGAATCTTAATTTGCATAAGATATTCGTACTAAGTATACTTATTATATTTCAAATCAATTTATTTTCCTAATACTACAATTATCCTAGTAAATTACGTGTATTGTGTAGGTAAAACAAAAGCTTGTCTGGCGGATTGCGAGGGTTCCTTTGCGCGGTATCGCACGTAATGCCGTGTTATTGGCCACTCGCACTCCGCTCATAATCCCCTTTTAAGTGCGGACCTCGCCGCGCCACGTGGACTGAATGCTGAGTATGTTCGCTAACATTCGCACTCCTAAGCGCCGACAGGACACATTACATAAATGTGTATAAAACTGCTTATAAAAATCTCCATACCCAAAGTTGGAAGTCACGATCATAACTAGATTCACTCTTATATTATAAAAACCTTTCGTTGCCACCTTCAGCTTGTCAGTTTTTTGTTTACTTGTAAAATAAAAAATATTGTTAGGTCACTCCTGCTAGGGTCACCAAAGATATTTGCTTCGTTTTCTTATCTTTATTTTCTCATCAATTGGTACAAGAAGTTGAGTGGGTGAATAAAACTTTTGAATAGATTAACATAAGGGACTAATTAATACAATTTGAAAAAATAGCAATCTAAGCGTGCTTTCGGAATTGCTTTTGAAAGATTTTTTGTGGATAACATTAATACCGCAGTTGTTAAAGCGCTGGTATAATATTGTGCCCCCTAACACCACACATCTCCACATTTCACGAAAACTGCAAACGTAACCGCTGAATAAATTCACGTTTATTACGCCAACCGTACATATACCTACAGCGGAATTCACCTTGGCACTCTCTACCGGAACGAATCGACGGTACCACCGTTTACGCGGAACGCGCCCAACGCGCCGTATGAAATATTAACGTTTACTTGCGCGTTATTGCTAAACAATGCGCAGAATACATGCGAATGTCGCTAAGGTTGGCACATTACGAGGACGGAGCGCTAATGGTATCGGTCGGCTTTATTTATTGCCAGGATCGGGAGAGATGGGACGATATTTTTTATATCGCGTCATAACTTACCATAATTGCTCATATTATTGTGTAGGTTTTATTCTATATCATAAATTTATTTTCACGGATAAAGTTGACCAAATAGTCAACGAGATGACATATCTTCGTTTCGATGTATTTATATCAAAATTCTTTAAGTACTTAGTCTATTGGAGAGAAGTACAAGTCGTATGCTACTTCAATCTATTTTTAGCTGAAACTGGCAGTCAAATAAACACGGTCGTTATTGAAGCTATAAATTCAAGCATCGCCAGCGCATATTGCAAGCCGATAAAGTTATTTGCGTTCAATAAGGCGAATGATCTGACTTTTCCCATTTTTCGTCTGCGAATGGCATTCTCGCCCCCGCCCCACTCCACAGCCGCCCCTCGAACGCCCTCTGCGGTGCAAAGTTGAGGGCATTAGCGTGTTATCGGTGCCAGCAGAGTGAAGACGGCACCCACCTGACCCCCACCAATGGTCACACTTATAACAGCTCAGGACTTGACAATGACGCATATTTTACATTACATTGCTCGCCTAATTTCAATTATTACAAACAAATTCCATAATAACGCAGCAATGTAAGGTGAAGTAAATGGTATTGAAATTATCGTTTTACGGTAGGCGTAATAGATAGTATCTAAAAGCGTTGAGATGCGGGAATAGGTGGGAAGCGTGAACGTGTTTTGCAAACCTGCCGAGAAAATAAGGTGTCCCCAATTTGCCTTTGTCGACCGAACGCTGATAGCAAATAATGTGCTATAGTTACGTATCCAGTTTCAGATCCTATTTCGAAGTTTCGTATTCTTTACAAAAAATATTTCTGTATTGAAATTTTGTGAACACTTTGACTTATAACTTAATAAATATTGTTTTCTGATAACTGACTCTTAGTTTAACAAAGTCCGAAGTTAATCGGTTTAAATTAAGTAGATATATGTCATGTTCGTCGTGGTTCAACCAGTGAAGAATTCTTAAGCTTGTAAATTGAAGCTAAATATCTAGTTGGTACTTATATGTTACTTGTGCTTCACAAGTCTGCGGTCATAGTTATGAATAAACAATCAGCAGCGGTCGCAGAGGGCATCAGGGAGGTGGCGATTCCCTCAGGAGTGACAGTAGTGCGCGTCGTTCACAGGTTATTGATACAAATAGCAGGCCCTCCCGCGATCCTCCCGCGGCCCTCCCGCGACACACCCCCACTTCGATAACACCAATAAAACCTGATTGATATTGTGTAAGTGCTTTCGGAAAATGTGGGAACTCGATTGATGTTACAGCCAAATTCGATTGGAGGAAAATTGAAAAGAATCATCTATGTCGAAGGATATTGAACTCTGTTGCGTTGGCTGTAAAGTATAAAATAGTTGTTGTAAGAACAAACGTAATACCATTTGGGAATTAAGATTGTAGTATTGATAGTAGCTGGAGGCGTGAATAGTGTTGTCTAATGGCGGGATACACGTGCCCTGTTTGACGTGTTTGTTGAACTTTGTTACCTCGATGCGACTTAAATATTACCTATCGAAACTATTCCAGTTGAATTACGAAATTTTTTTAGCTTTTATAAGTCTATTGCAAATCCAATTTTTCGTTCAAAGTCTTCCGTGTCAATGTTTTTGTATCTCATCTAATTAATAATTAATTTTAAGCATACAATAACTTACGTGAATTAAGGGGTGAGCAGAGGTTTCGAATATATATTGCAACATGTCATTCAATGGTGGACGTCTCTTTTATTGGTCGCCTCTTAAAGAGTCTAGAGTTGTCTGTTTCGGTCTATTTCGGCCAGTGTCTCCATTTCTTGTAAGTTAGCAATTTGTTAGTCAACCTTACTTATGAGTATGCAT